TTTTTTGTTGTCATTATAGTATTTCGGGGAACCCCGTAGCAGCCACATCCGTTAGTCTTGTTTCTTTGTTCACTTCCCTAAAATCAAGAGCGGTAGTTATGAAAAAAAAAAAAAAAAAAAAAAGAGCTGTAGTTATACCACCAAAGATAGGGCAGTTATACCGAGTATCCAATAATGAAAGCGTCGCCTACGGCCTTGCTTTTTTCCATGGTAAACGCCCAGACGTCTGGACCGGGTTCCAGACAGTCCGGTGTCCGGTCCCCATGTCCGGATGGAGGCCCCTGGGGCAAAAATCAAAAAAAAAAAATGGGGCTGCCCAGGACGTTTGTCGGGTCCTAGCCGCCCCGCGGGGTGATTTTTAAGTGTCCTTTCACCCCACCGGACATGGCCTAGAGGTCCAGACACAAGACAATGCAGGTTTTTGAGGTGGCGGGTTTCGCACAGGCCCGAGCAATTTCAAAGAGGCCGTTTCGACGTGGCGCCCGCCGCTGCTGGCCGTTGGGCATATCATAAGGAATTTTCACAACTGCCTCAAAAACAGTATTAGGAAGTACAGCTTGTGGGGAGAGAGAGAGAGAGAGAGAGAGAGAGAGACATTCTCTTCTCTCTCTCTCTCTCTCTCTCTCTCTCTCTCTCTCTCTCTCTCTCTCTCTCGTTCTTCCCCCCCTTCCCCCGCCCCGCCATGCCTGTTTGTTTTAGGTTGTTACTTTTCATTTTCGTCATGGCTTTTTTTTTTTTTTTTTTTGGGGCCCGTTTTTTGGGGACTACCAGTCGGACGTCGGTAGTGTTGCAGCAAAGCAGCAGAGCACGTGTCTTGCAGCAAATCAACCAGCACATTTAACTAGCAGACATGCAGAGTTGCAAACAGTGCAAAGCAGGCACAAGATTAAAGAAACAGAGACTTTTTTTTGAAAAAAAGTACGATGAACTTTGAACTTTGAACTTTGGATTTAGTAACTTAAGTTCATAACTTCATATATAACTTAAAAGTTCTTTGCAGTTCAATTCAGAACGTCAGAGTCTTCAGACTGGCAGCACTGTCAGTGCTCTCTCTCTCTCTCTCTCTCTCTCTCTCTCTCTCTCTCCCCCAACAGGCAGCAGCGGCGGGCGCCACGTCAAAACGGCCTCTTTGAAATTGCTCGGGCCTGTGCGAAACCCGCCACCTCAAAAACCTGCAGTGTCTTGTGTCTGGACCTTTAGGCCATGTCCGGTGGGGTGAAAGATCACCCCGGCGGGCGGCTAGGACCCAACAAACGTCCTGGGCGGCCCCATTTTTTTTTTTGATTTTTGCCCCAGGGGCCTCCATCCGGACATGGGGACCGGAGACCGGACTGTCTGGAACCCGGTCCGGACGTCTGGGCGGTTACCATGGAAAAAAGCAAGGCCGTAGGTGACGCTTTCATTATTGGATACTCGGCGGAGGTTTCAGCACATAGCCAGATTTGCCTTTAACATTACTGTGTTCTCCTGTTAACAAAGAAAATCATATGTCAAACCCACGCCGTGTTGGCGGGGAAAAAAAAAAGAAAAAGGGAAAAGGAAAAAAGGAATCGTATTGCGTCAATCATTTGGTAACCTGGGACATGTTCCAGGCTTCCAGCTTATCTTTATGGAGTCTGGATTATCGTCCTTCAAATAAGGTCTTTTGTATGACTAACTCTTAGTCTTCTTCTTCTTCTTCTTCTTTGTTGTTGTTGTTGTTGTTGTTGTTGTTTTTTTTTTTTTTTTTTTTTTTTTTTTTTTTTTTT